CTTTTCTCTTTTCCCTTTTTTACTAAAAATAGATCTTTTTATATAACATATTCTGATTGTAGTTCCCCTCCCCCTGCTCCTCCCAATTCCTCCCCACCTTCCCATCTAGATACCCCCCTTTCTGTCTTTTCTTAGAAAACAAACAGGCATCTAAGGAATAATAATAATAAAATGACATGTACTGCAATAACATAAAACAAAAACAAGCAAATATAGGACAAAACAACCAAGCAAGAAAAAGAGCCAAAGAAAAAGCACAAGAAACACATATAGACACGGAGATACACATGTTCACACACATAAGAATCCCATAATGGGGAGGGGGGGAGAGCATGGGAATCTGTGGCTATTATGTGGAACTGAATGGTGTTGTAAAATAAATAAATAAATAAATAAGTAAGTAAGTAAGTAAGTAAATAAATAAATAAAAAGAATCCCATAAAAACACTAAACTGCAAGTCATTATATATAATATATATGCATATATATTATTTATATATATATATATATATATATATATATATATATATATATATATGCAAAGGACAGGTAAGGCAAAAAAAAAAAAAACCTGACTTATGAGACAAAAACCTCCAGAGATGCCATCGAGTTCATTTTCTGTTGGCCATTTACTGGTGCACATGGAGCCTACCCTTAAGAGTGGTTGGTTTCCCCAGTGAGACTCCCATGGAGAAAGCTAATTTCTCATTTGTAAGTGGTTATCAATTGGAAATCACTTCTGGGTTAGGGATGCAGGCATATGTCCACTTTTCCTTTCAGCTCTAGGATCCCACCTGGTGCAGGTTGGTGCAAGCTCTGTGAGTTTATATGCAGCACCAAGTTTTATATTCCATTATTCATTCTAAATACTCTGTTCGAAGACTGTTCACTTTGCCATTTGCTAGATAGTTTCTTGAGAGCTTGTCTTCAGAGGCATAGTTTAACATTTTGAAAATACAAAAATAACTACTAGCACTCTGTTTCTTACTCAGTTCTGCTTTCTCCTCTGCACAATTTTTCACAGGATCCCCAGGATGCCATCCCCAGAGGAACCATGCTGGCCATTTTCATCACCACTGTTGCCTACATAGGTGTTGCTATTTGTGTTGGTGAGTAAAATGTGTTTGATGTCAGAATTTCAGGGAGCCCAGTGGTTCTTCGTGTCTAATGGCTTTCAATGGAACATAAGTACATAGAAAGTTTAGGGGGAGGTTGTTTTGCTTTAAGGTAGCAACTTTACTTCCTTTCTTGATACTTAATGATGTGTATCTTTGGGGGCCTTTGATGCAATTAAAATGCAATGCAAGCATCTTCAGCTCAGTATTTTAAAAGAGCCTATCAAATTGCCATTATGCCCTGGTCCAAAGAAGGCCACGCCTTGCCACCCTTGGTGACTGCACTGCTGAGAAAGCTGTTGCTTCTAGCACTCAGCTCTCTTGTCCTGTGAGGTAAGTGAGGACAAGAACAGAGCAAAGTAGAAAAAAAAAATCAACAAAACCCAAACCTGGCAAAGGAAAGAATAAAAGATGAGGAAGTCACAACACTACCTCATCTCTAACTTGGAAGTGTCATTGACACAAGCTGCCAGGAAATCAGAACAGCCACAGCTGTTAGCAGTGTGGAAGCCAGCCCCATGCTTCTCGGCGAGCAGAGCATGCCCATGTGCCTTTTCCAGCTGCTCACAAGGCAAGCGTTGGCTCTACCTGCTGCCTGCGGCCACATCTCCTCTTAGGGCCATGGCATGCTTATGCCATAGTGTGAAGGAAGGAACGTGTTTTCCAACATGCAGAGAAGAAACCCTCTCTGGTGCACAGTGAGGAATGCAGGCCCAGGCTGGAGAGTGGTGGGAGCTTGATGGCCTATTGACCAAATGACAAACTCCAGTAGTCCTCTGCTTACTATAAGAAAATATGGGAAAGTCCATATATAGCAGCTGGTGTTATCTCCTGGTCGTGCCTGGCCCATGGTCAGGACAAATCTCTCTCACCTGCAGCTGCTCAGACCCAAATAAACACACAGATGCTTATATTATTTATAAACTGTATGGCCATGCGACTCAGGCTTCTTGCTATCTAGTTCTTATATCTTAAATTAACCCATTTCTATAAATCTATACCTTGCCACGAGTCTCATGGCTTACCAGTACTTTACATCCTGCTCCTCATTGCGGCAGGGTCTCCTGACTCAGCCTTCCACTTCCCAGAATTCTCCTCTCTCCTTATCCCACCTACACTATACTTTCTGCCTGGCTACTGGCCAATCAGCATTTTATTTATCAATCAGAGTAACACATTCACAGCATCCACAGCATCTACAGCAATATATCTTAAATTATTTCTGAAGAAAAGAAAACCAAAAAAAGCAAAAAGCTAAGACTGTTGCCTATCTTGCTGCTTCTCTGTGAGGAACCTGGTAAGTCATTCACTGCCCTGTGGCATTCTGAGCTGAGTTACACAGGTAGACGTTTTCTGATTCAATGCGTTTGAATGTCGATGACTTTAGAATGGCACGCAAGCTATCTGAGGTTGTGTCTTCCAAATGTGGTTTTAAGTGAACCTGTGTGTGTGTTTAAGAAACAGAAGAGTTGAGGGAATGAGTAGTTAGTTGAGTGTCTGTACTTTGGCAGGGGAGGAAGACACCCATCATGGGAATCAGTGTTAACAGTGGCTCAGGACTTTGAGCAGATCTATCGTGAAGGTCACAAAACACATGATCCCAAAAAGATGGTTGGGTGTAAAGTGAACAGTACAAAGAGGCAAAATCTAGGTGGATAATTTTTCTTATCAGTCAACAGCCATAATCCCAAGTGTGTACACAGAGGATAGCAGGCTACTGCTCACAGCTATGATGACATTCACTGGGAATTCCGTGACTATGGAAGCAGGGTGCACTTCATTTCCACCCCTGGGAACTATCTTTTTTTATTATTATTATATATAGTGGTCTGCCTGCATGTGTCCCTGCAGGCCAGAAGAGGGCACCAGATCTCATTACAGATGGTTGTGAGCCACCATGTGGTTGCTGGGAATTGAACTCAGGACCTCTGGAAGAGCAGTCAGTGCTCTTAACCACTGAACCATCTCTCCAGGCCAGGAACTATCTTTTAAAGAATTCTTTTTGTCTCTATCTGTCTGTCCAGGTCCTTGTCTTCACCCTCAATTAAAACAGTCTCTTTGTTGTTGACTGCTGTACACACCAGGCTTTCTGACCTGTCGTCTTCTAGGGAATCACTTGTCTTCCCTTCCCACCTCACTATAGGAGCACAGTGACACATACCACCATGCCTGCCTTTCCATGGGTTCTGGGGGTTCCTGTAAAGGTCCTCATACATGTGCAGTGAGCACTTTACTGACTGAGCCATGTGCCCAGCTCCTAATGGAATGGCTTGTCTAGGATTAGAACCGGTAATCGTGTACTCCATAAGCAAGAATCATACCCTCAGACCAATGGGCCACCTTGGGGGCTGTCTTTAAAGGTAGTAGTAATAAGTAAGAGACCACCCACGGTGGAGTAGGAAAGCCAAATGAACAGCTTAGTTAGTTGACATTTGGTTTACAAAGAATCTGTCTTTTATATTTAAATCCTTGTGTATAGTTTACAATTATATCCATATATTTCAATCACCATTAAATACACCATGGCAGAGATTATAGTCAGAAAACCTCATAAGGAAAGTAAAAAATTAAAATATATACTCCATCTTTCTTCTTTGGTTCATTCCCTTGACATCTTATTCATACGCATCATTGTTTCAACTTCAGCACAGTGGTTGCACCTTAGTCTGCTGCTATCTCAGCCAGCAGTTGCAACTCCACAGTTAATAGCCTGCTTATCTAGCAGCGGCCTGGCCACTCCGGCCTCAGCCTAGTGAGAATTCTGCTCCCACAGGCACCGGCCCTGTCGTTGCCACTTAAGGTAGCTTTAACTAATCTCTATCATTCTGATTATGAATTTAAGACTTAAGATTCAAGAGCTGGGGTGAAAACCTGTGAGCTCAGAACGGCTGAGTAGTAACCAGCTACCCCTCTCCTTGCTGCCATCCACAGAAGACCAGTGCTTCTGGTCCACCAAGCCAGAAAACGCTGTGCCGCTCCAAATCCCACCCTTCTACTTCCTGTGTGTGTCTCTCTCTCCTGGTTGTCCTCTCGTGCTTGATGATTACTTTCTGTCAACTAGTTGCTGACAGAGCCTCCTGACCCCAGGTTAATTTTATTTAATTAACCAAATGCAAACTCAGGGTTCACAGTCTGATCAAATATCCCCCAACACATCTTTGTATTTTCTCATCCTTGCCCTCCCACAGCACTTTCTTATAACCCCTTTCCCTCCCTTTAGTATCTTTCCTCTCCCTACTTAGTTCCCTTCTACTTCCATATCATGTATATGTATATGTATATGTGTATGTGTAGGTATGTACAGAGATATACACACATAGAGAGATCCAGATTCAAATCTAAATTCTACATATGAGAGAAAACTCGCAATATTTACCTTTCTGCGTCTGGCTTATTTTGCTTAGCATGATGATTTCCATTCCATCCATTTTCTAGCAAATAACATATTTTTTTTTTCTTCTTGAGAGTATTCATTGCTCTTGAGAAGGAACCAAGTTCAGTTTCCAGCACCCACATGGTAACTCACAACCATCAGTAACTCCAGTTCCAGGGGCTCCAATGCTCTCTTCTGACCTCTGCAGGGACCAGGCACATACATAGAGGCCATAAACACATGCAGGCAAAGCATACACACACACATTAAAAAACAAATAAGTACATTTAAAAAGATAAAGTTTTTTTAAGTGCTCACAGTTCTGTTTCTGAGACTCTACCCTGGAGAAATATTTTAAAACTTAGAAGAAAAAGTTAATGCACAAAGATGTTCATCATTACAAAGTTTATAATAGAAAACAGTGGAAGTACTCAAGTGTGTGAAAATAATGAAACAGAAAGAAGATTGTCTCGCCATTAATATTAATGGCTAGTTAGGAAATATTAATATTTTTCCCAAAGTATTGCCTTATTATTTACTTCTTTGTTCAGTTAACATACAGAGGGATGTATGCCATCACAGCATCCACAGAAGTGCGTGTCAGTTCACTTGGTTCTGAGCTGTCCCCTTCTCCACTGCTCTTTCCCATACCCTCTCCTTGCCTCTTCCTTCCCACGTCATTTCCTGCTTCTGCTTTGCTATTTCCTGTGTCCCATTACTCTCTCTATTTCTCACCTCCCCTAATATCACGTCATCTTCTCTCATAATCCCCATTCTCGTTCTATGGCCTACAAACACACACACACACACACACACACGCACACGCACACGCACACGCACACGCACACGCACACACACGTATGTATAATTGTAAATCTAGGTTCTATATCTGAAAGAAAACATGCAGTATTTGTCTCTCTAAGGCTGGTTTGTTTCACTTAACATAATGATTTTCAAATGTGTCCGTTTTCCTGCCCCTGACATAATTTCATTTTCCTTTCCGGCAGCATAAAATGTCATTGTGTAAGCATCACACATGTCCTCCATCCATTTGTATGTTGACAGACATTTAAGCTACTTCCATGTCCTGGCTATTGTCAGTGAGAAGCATGGATGTACACATATCTCTGAGATACATCTACTTAGAGGTTTTTGTGTATATAGCCAAGAGTATATCTGGGTCTTATATTAAATCTATTTTCAGTTTCTTAGGAAATATTCATACTGGTTTCCATAGGGGCTATACAGGTTTACATTCCCACCAACAGTGACTAAGAGTTCATCTTTCCCCACATCCCTACCAGCATATGTTGTCCTTTGTTGTCTTTTTCTAAATTTTATTTTTGATATTATACTCTAATTACATCATTCTCCCTCCCCTTTTTTGTGTAAGATACCCCTTTAAGCCTCTTCTGCAGCATGGGTTTGGCACACTTCACAATCATGGTATGTGCCTGTCTTGGGGGCCCTTATTTCTCCATTGATTTGAAAAGATGACTTTGCTGGGTATAGCAATCTTGGTCGACAGTTGTTTGCATTGGGGGCTTGGAATATCTCCTTCTAAGCTTGGCTTTGAGGGTGGCCTCTGAGATGCCTGGTGTTGTGTTGTTTCTGCTTTGTAGAGGAGTTGCTATTTCCCCTTATAGCTTTGAAGATGGTTTTCTTTGCTATGTATTTTCAGCATTTCGACATCATGGAGATTTCTTCTCTCGTTGTGTCTATTTGGAGTTCTGAGTGTTTCTGGTGCAGGAATATCTGTGTCTTTCTCTAAATTTGGAGAGTCTCTGGTATAATTTGGTAGATTCTCGATGTCTTTAGTGCTGGCCTCTTCTGTGTTGTAGGTTCTGAGCTTTAGTGTCTCAGAGCCCTTAGATGTGGTCATGCTTGTTTGCTCCTGTGTTTCCTGTGCCGATACCTGACCGCCATGCTCCATCGACCCCAGCCTCCATCTCTGACATTCTTCCTTCTGCTTGGCAGGTTTCTTAGTGACCGAGCCTGCTGGGTTTTTATTGGATTCAGTGAGTTTTTTGTTTTCAATGCATCTGGGTTTGTTTGCTTTGCTTTTCAGAAATTTTCCTTGCTGAGTTTTCTGTGTTGTGGACTTGTCACCCGTGTGGCTCATCTCCTCCTTCATTTTTGCTGCTTTTTTTGTTTGTTTTTCTATTTGCTGATGTTCCTCTCTATGGCCTGAATCAAATTCATCTGGTAGTTTGTATCTTCTTTTAGGTTATTGATCATTTTTACCAGAAAACCGAAATCATCATGCTGCATTTTGCACATCTCTGTACCTTTGGGTTTAGCACTCATGGAGTTACTATCTCTTGAAAAAGTCATGCTGCGGGCCTTTTGAAGTTTCTTATGTTTGTGTGGTTAGTGCATCTCTTGGTTTAGATATCTCTTCTGGATTTTTTTTTTTGAGGGGGAGGTCTTACTTAGTTAGTTACTCTTGCAGTCTCATTCCTCACTACCAATGAAGGAGGATACAAACCTCTCTACTCACAATAACATCAAACCACATGAGACACAGAAATTCAATTACAGCCACTAATATGTCACCAGCCACCATGAATTGAGAATGACATTACATCAGAATGTGCTATAAATGAGAACTGAATGAGATGCAGGAAGGTGAAGAAAGATGAGAAAAATAAAAGAAATAAGGTTAAAGAGCTAAAAGAAAAAGAAGGGAGTGGAGAAGAGAACAAAAATAGAAAAAAAATGTAAAGAAAAATATTTCCCAATTGTCAAAAACAAAATTGAATAAATATAATAAAGAGGATAAAAATAAAAAAACACAAGAGTATTTTTAAAAAGTCTGGGCTGGAGAGATGGCTAGGTAGGTGTTAAGAGCACCTGCTGGTCTTGCAGAGGACCCAAGTTTGGTTCTCAGCACCCATGTTGGGTGGCTCACAACAACCTGTAACTCCAGCTCCAGGAGATCCAATGCCTGGGGCCTCTGTGAGCACCCACACCCATAAGCACATACCCCCACATAGACACACACAGACACATAATTGAAAATATAAATCTCTTTTTAAAAGAAAAGAAAAAAGCCAATGAAGCAAATTCAAAATACTATGAAATGTAGAGAGGTATAGGGGAAAAAAGGAAGGAGAGAAGGGCCAGAAAAAGAAACAAAGAAGGGGGAAATGTTGCCCCAAAGTGGGGACCAAAAAATGCCTAAAATAAGATAAATGTATGAAGATATAATACAGTGAAGATACTGATAAATATGCAGGACAGGAAAAAAAGGGATCACACAGTAGGGAAAATTATATTAGAATGTCTTCTGCCGGGTCTTCAGAATAGAAGCTGCTAGTTACAAGCGTTGGGGGAGGGCAGTCGGTTGAATCTGGGCTCTTGCCTCTCCTCTGGTGTACACTGTTGCCTAGTCTGTACTGGACAAGCGCACGATGTCTGCCAGCATTCACTGTCTAGCAGCTGTTCTTCTCAGGGCACCAGGGGCCGCTGCTGGCCACTCTGTCCCTCTGAAAGCTGGACAGGTCCTCTCACTCTCCTGAGACGCCCCGAGCATAGACCTGAGGTGCCTGTTCTAGCAGAAGGATGTCTCCTAAGTGCCCTGGGGACGTGGGAGCAGCCACAGCACAGGGATGGGTACACGTGGAGGACCTGACTTGGTACCGTCAAGGCCTCCCAAGCATTAATCATCTGCTGGAGGGTGCACCCCTACAACTTCTGAGTTTTGGGGCTCTAACACAGCAAACCACGGTTATCTCTAGAATTTCATCCACCTGTAAGCTTCAGAGGCATCGAACGCCAGGCTTGATAAAATCTCTCCCTGGCCACCTGTACTTTTCATTTCATTCACATCCAGCTCTCTGCTGTCCACAACTACCTCCCTGCACCAGTCCTCACCAATGGTTGTAACAGGCCCAAGGGAAGATCTTCACAATGCCTCCTAAGCCCCACTGCTCTGAATCCCTTTGACAAAACGGCGTCTTTCTCACCGATGCCGCCTCATCAGCTGGAGAAATCACTGTCTCTCCAAATACTACAGCAGGATTCAAGCTCATGAGGGCTTTGGCTTGTGCTAGTGCTGGGGTTGGAGCTGCCTGACCCTCACCTAGCTTATCTTTGGGAGGGGCTGCTGAGTCCCATTACCCAGCCAGGGAACTGCACAAGGGAGGTTCTGCTGGGCTTGCCACTTGGTGCAGTGGTACATCTCTGTTCAGCTCTTTTCTTTTGTGGATTTCCAAAGCCTTGCCTATATTTCTGTTTAGGATGAAGTCTAACTTTTTTTATTCTTTTTTTTTTTTTTCAGCAGTGCTCACACAGGCAGAAACTATGCCACCATCTTACTGGGTGGTGCTATCTTTATCATTAAAGCAATTAAAATTACATATATGTGACCTGAACAAGGAGGCATCCACAGACATGCTAATGTGGATGGGGGGGGGTGGTAGGAAAGCCCACAAAGCCTCAACAATAGGGAAAGAGCTATAGGGAAGGAAGGAATGCTGAGAGCGGAAGAAACCATCTTCCTCAGGGAAGAGCATGGCAACTGGTTATCCGGTACTATATGGCCAGCTCTGGAAACACCGGCAAACAGTATTCAGACTAAGCACAATGATTTCATGTGTTTAAAAATACACACACACACACACACACACACACACACACACACACACACCAATTAAACAAAAAAGAGGCCATGAATTTGAAAGAGCAAGACAAGTGGGTATGTGAGAGGGTTTGGAGGGATGAAAGAAAAGGGAGGAAATGATATTATTACATTATAATCTCGAAAAAAAACATTTAAAATTACATCTAAAGTAGAATTATAACTCTATTTCTGAAACACATGCAAAGAATACCTGAAAGCAAGGCCACATTTTCTTAGTGATTAGATTTCCTAGTGCCTTCTCTTGATTGCCGCCTCTCAGGCAACGGGAGTTATTAAAAATCGTGGGGTCAGTAGAACTGAGCTAGATATGAGCTGCATACATGTTATGCCAAAGCAGGACCCATTTTAGGAGATCAGAAAATCAGAGTCTCAGCGCCCAAGCCTCCTACAAGATAGCCTCGGGAGTGAGGACCACCCAAGGCAGTGTGAGTGAAAGCCAGGGTGTCCACAGGACTCGGAGGCTGGGAGCTCCAGTGACTGTGTCTCAAGAATTGACAGTCCGCACAGGCTCTGAATATACATGTTCAGACTCAGTGCCGACTAAGCATGTTTTAGACCCAGACCCTCAGAGAACAGGACGCTGACAAAGGCTGCCAAGATGAGGAGATGATGTGGGGGTCAGGGATTGAGCTCAGTGCCACAGCATTTGCTAGCATTTGCTTCACGAGCACAAGGCCCTGGGTTCTGTCCCTAGCACTGAAAAGGAGCAAGGGAAAAAAAAGCAATGACAGACAAACATTGTTCCCTCAGCGGCATGTGTGGTCAGAGACGCCACCGGAAGCATAAATGACACCATCATTTCTGGGATGAATTGCAACGGATCTGCAGCCTGCGGGCTGGGCTATGACTTCTCGAGATGTCAACATGAACCATGTCAGTATGGGCTGATGAACAATTTTCAGGTATGCACCTTGGGGGGGGGGGGTGTTTATTGCCATTGTCTGCATTTTCAGAATATCAAGTATAGTAAGGCTTCTGGATCTGCAATTGATTATATACTGATTGATTTGAATCAAGCAAGGAGCAGGTGGTGTGGGAGAGAAAGAGATCATGCAGGCATGGTGTGGTGGCAGTTCTTGTACTTTTCAGGCACTGTGGTAAGGTGTGAGCTGTGCCACCAGGAGGGAGCATCACATTGTTCCATAGCTTCCAGTCAACTCTGTGAGATGCCGTGCTGGATTGGAGTGCATTTTGTGTACAGGCTTTAGATTAGAAAAATCTAAGGTGGCCGCACACGGCCAAGAGACAGGGCAAGGAGAAATTGTGAATGAGAAGCTGGGACAAAAATGAGTGCAAAGCAACATGGGAAAGCATGGGACTTAAAACAAACTAATTGTCCTACGTGGTTGGTAAAGAGAGTAACAAGTAAATGGACTGAGAAGTCTGCATCTGTCTAATTTTAACAACCAACACAGACACATCAACTCAGCTGAAATCATTATTCCAAAATATGACTCAAGCTGATAGGCTCCTCATAATCATGGAAAATCTGTTCCCAGGGACCGTGTTGGTGCTGGTATCCTTCTCATTGTTATTCCGAGGCAAATCATGAGTATCTCAATTATGTCAAAAAATAAAGTCAGGTTTAAAGAGCACAAGGAAAGCAAAGGTTTGGAAACTCTTTGGTAGAAGAAGAAACAGTGCCTGTAAGGAGACTGAAGGCAGACAAGCTGTCCGCACACCTATCCAACACCACCCGCTGTGGGGTAGAGCTTCCTCCCACCAGAGCAACGGGGAGCGCGGGAGAGGCACTAGGAGAGTCCTTGACAGTACTCCCTTCTTTAGTTTTTCCAGTGTTTTCTAAATATTTTGTGGTGGGTATCTGGTGCTTGGTAAATAAAAAGAGAAGTATTACAAACTCAAGCGTGAAGTGGGGTAGTGGTGGAGCATTAATTTCTAAGAGTGTGAATCGCAGGAAGCGGAGAAGGAAAAAGCGTGTTGAAGAACAATTAACTTTCAAACTGTTTGTTGGGTGAGCTGCCTTATCCTAAACCCTCTCTCTTCTCAAGGTCATGAGCATGGTGTCAGGGTTCGGGCCCCTCATCACCGCGGGGATCTTTTCAGCAACACTCTCTTCAGCCCTGGCCTCCCTCGTCAGTGCGCCCAAAGTATTCCAGGTAATAATACAGCCATGCAAGCGTACGTACGTGCGTGTGTGCGTGCGTGCGTGCCTGTGCTGTCTCCATGGCATGCGAAACACACTGAGATAGTGGCTCCCACCAGCCATCGCTTTCCATCACTTTCTGCAACCATTAATGTTCGCATCTGGCTCAAGTGCTGTGTCTGCCACATAGTCAAGATCGATTCCGATAATATAAAGAATGATGAGCCTCAGTGTTAACTTGCGCCTCGGATTGTGCATCGCTTAATCTTTCCCAAATCTTCTTTTCTGAATCACCTAGAGAAAACGACTGTGCATAGACATAAATGACAAATGTCTCCTCTTTTTTCCCATTAGGCTCTGTGCAAGGACAACATCTTCAAAGGACTGCAGTTCTTCGCAAAGGGCTATGGGAAGAACAACGAGCCCCTGAGAGGATACTTTCTCACTTTTGTGATAGCCATGGCATTCATCCTCATCGGTGGGCAGTTTTCTTGCCCTGTTGGAAAGCCAAAGATTCTTCTTATGATTCAGGCTTTTGCTTTTAGCTTGAGAAATCAGCTGGTTTATCTTAAGACACTGTCTGGAAATGCTAGCGTTTGTCTAAGAAGGAAGCGAGAAATCCTTAGGTGAAGAGGGTATTTGAGGATGCAAGGGAGGCTGTAGGCTTTTGTCTGTTTTGGAACCTGAGTGTTAGAAGCCCATCCAGCCAAATGCAACTGAACCCTTCCTGCAATTCAGTGCATCCTAACCATGGGAGGCACACACACACCCCGCCCCCACCCAGCTCTATGTACCAGCCTGATAGCTCTAACCTGGCAAGCTGAATCGTTATGCCAGTGTTTCTTCACAGGTAGCTACTTGGCCATCCGCTCAGAAGCACCAAGGTGTCTCTGAAAGTGCAGATTTTGCAGGTCCAAACTTAGGGCTGCTGAGTTAGAATCGCTGAGGATTTGGAATCTCCATTTTTCACCCTCCCCTTCAAATCGCTCCTTGACATGAGTTTTTTTGAGAACCACTTACCTAGACTATAATTTGGGTTTTCTTTCCCAAGCAATCTAGAAGTAGCCACAAGGTCTTGAAAAAGTGTATTTGTCAGCTTCCACTATCCTTGCTCTCCCTTAAGGCCCAAACTAAGGGTTCTTCTTTGCATGTGAAACCCTGGGAACAACTATAATATATGTGTCCTTATACGATGTCTATGAAGTTGGGAGGGCTACATATAACTCCTAGTAAATTTGTTAAATTTTTAAGAAATTAAATAAAAAATGGTTTATATAGAGAGATATTCCAACAACACTATATAATGTTTAAGACTTCAAATTACTGCCCTCTGCTGCATTTAATGTTTCATTACATTTGTGTGTGTGTGTGTGCCCGTACTATCATGTAGGTCAGAAGACGCCTTGTGGGAGCTGGTTCTCTCCTTCCGCGAGGGTCCCTGGGACCTAACTCATGGCGTCGGTTTGGCAGCACACACCTTTACCTGCTGAGCCATCTCTCCAGCCTCCTTCTTCTGCATTTAAATGATCACACAATCAACTTTTTAAAAAATGTACCCATTAAATTATCCCCCTTTAAATCATTGATTTAATGTAATGCCTACATAAAATTATCTCCTTAAACTCACATGAATTTCCATCCTACATAGTCTCTTGACTATTTACATAGCAGATAAAGAATACAGGATCTGGTGCATCCAAAATTGCCCTAGAGTAACTCGTTGTGCACTTAGTCCTGGGGTAGACAGAGGTCTGGGTTGTCTGTTTTCTGACTGGCAGATTTCCTTGAGTCTTGCTCCATGGAAACCTTGCTGAGAGAGAGAGGAGGGGGGGAGGGAGGGAGAATAGATATAGATATAGATATAGATATAGATATAGATATAGATATAGATATAGATATAGATATCCTGAAAGAAAAATCACTAACTTCTTAAACTTTGACAGATTTTAGCTATGTTTCCAGTTTCCAGGAAAAGCTGAGCTTCCAGGCCTCAGCAGCTGTCCAGCCCCACACTGTGCGCAGCTGTACAGCTGTACACGTGCTAATTCTGCTTCTCTTCCAGCGGAGCTGAATGTCATCGCGCCCATCATCTCCAACTTCTTCCTGGCCTCCTACGCACTTATTAATTTCTCCTGCTTCCATGCCTCGTACGCCAAATCTCCAGGTAAGCCAAAATGAGAAACAGAAGCCTAAGCAAACAGCTAGTTTGTCTCAATAAAATGAAATACGTCTGTGGAAAGTGTTCAATCTGTGTTTTTATGTTTTCTTATATCTTAGTCGGCAGCATAATCTACTTCATTTTGGTGAGTTGGGGGATGACTTACAAAATAGAAAAAGAATCATAGGAGCAATGGCCTTTTTGACCAACCGTAAAGTCAATTTTCTCCTGTGGCAATAAATTATTCATTGCAAGAGAAACCACATTTATTTCAGCAGTAGAAAAACACCACTATTTATTTCCAGGGTAAAAGTGACCACAGAAGTGGAATAAATGTATATATTTGAGACTTCCTCACTATCAATTTGTTTCCTGCCCATGGTGCAGAAGAGAAGGATGAGCAGTTCCCATAATTACCTGCTGAGTGCAGGCAATGCAGATCGACCGCCCTGCGCACGCCAGGGACATCAGTGCACAATTGGGCTCTGGTCTTAAATGGCTTAAAATTCCACACCCAAGAGCCTTCCTCTAGCTCATCATCCTTCATCTCTTCTTTGCTTCCACTGCCCAATAAGATTCCTTCTGTTGCTTCCAGAAAGTCATCTGACGGCTATATGACTTTCACCATGAGAACTTTCATCCAAGATACTAAATAAATACTCTTGCACTTTGCCGCCATCCTCAGCCTTATTGGCAGCAAAGTTTGCAAAGGAGGCCGGGGAGCCTGTGTCCATGCAGGCAGGGCTACTTGATTAAAGAAAGTATAGAACGTAACTGAAGATTTTCAGTTTAGTGTGGTTGGTCTTTTAACATGAATCTGTGATCCCATGTCATGTTTTGCTATGATTTAAAAAAAAAAAAAAAGCCAGTTACAATAATTATCAGAAGAGTGGGAAGGAGTAATGGGAAAGGGGGAAGAAAAATAGAAAAAAAAACCCATAAACCCCAAATATGACTCTCCAAATCTACCCCACCCCCTCCCTGTCCACCTGACCTCCAAAGGCTGTCTCTCAGAAGGAAGCAGAACTAAGAAAAAAAAAAAAAAAAATCGGGCTTTTCTAATAGCCTTCCTGGAGTGCTGTTTCCCTCTTGTGGTCATAGAGGAAATTTCCGCTCTAGACAGAGTTCCACTGGATTTCAGTGACTCCAGATTTAAAGTCGTATTCACCCATTGACCAAATGCATCCTCCAGCTCAGGTTTTCCCATCCTGACTGAATGCTTTCCTAGTCTCTTTCACTTCAAAAAACATAGAAGCCTGTGTGTATCATAACTGTGGCAGATACTTTATAAAACATAATGCTATGCATCTGTTGGGTTTAAGGATCACTGGTAGAAACATTTCTCCTCTTCTATAAGATTATTGCTTGTGAAGGCTCAAACACTGTCGTCCTCTTAGGATGATCGTAAGGCAGGCTGTTTCCATTGCTTTGCAAATGGAACAAAGGCTCACTTTATGACTGGCTCTTTCACAGACAGGAAGTTCTTTCGCCCCACCTGTTGCCCAGACGCCACTTTTTCCAACCTACCTTCTTCCTTTCCAGTCCTGGTGGTAATGATTTTGTTTGTTTAAGCTCTGGTAGTTTGGGAGGATAATCAGGACACACAGGAAGCACAGATGGGTCCAGTCTGTGACCATCTACTTTCCAGATGTTTCATATTTCCCAAATTTTACAGCATCATCTTTGGTACAAACAAGACTTTTGTAGATCAAGGATCCAAGATTTAAAAAAAAAAAAGTTAAGAGTTAGGAAATGGACCTAAAAACTTAAATTTTTATGCCAGAGGAAGACATATTATCTGCACTCCTATAATACAGCGTAGTGCACAGGCAAAAATTTTCCTATGTGATGTTTCCTTCCAGGATGGAGGCCAGCGTACGGGATTTACAACATGTGGGTGTCTCTTTTTGGAGCAGTTCTGTGCTGTGCGGTCATGTTTGTTATCAACTGGTGGGCAGCTGTCATCACCTACGTCATCGAGTTATCCCTCTACATCTATGTGACTTACAAGAAGCCAGGTAAGAGAACAAAGGTCACCTAGGATGGGCTTCCGGCTCCCTCTATCCATCCATCGACTGTTTATCACGTAGCTTCCACAAGCTTACGAGCACTGTGTGCAAGACAGTTTGTTACAAGGCTGCGTAATATAAGGACCACGGTAATCAAAAGCATGGAGCACTGTACATGCCGCGCGCTCATTCAGTCTGCACAGTACCCCGGCACATTTCATGGTATGAGGCTCAATTCAGAGGAGGAGAAATTTCAAAGAGTTGATCACATGCCAAAATAAAAGTCAGGGTGTGATAGAGCTGACATTTAGGCCACAGGCATGTGACCCCAAACCTCACAGGCCTCCCCTTCTGTCTCCTTCTAATGTCCTAGTGAGATAGGGTCCCTGTCCTCAAGGAGTTCTCAAACTCACAGCCAAGCAATGAATTATAATACAATATAGTAAGCATCACAAGGGCAGTATAAACAGATTGCTGGGAAAAGGGGGAGGCGTGAGCAACCTTGGAGTTGTTCAGAATTCTTTCTTGGTTCATAGTTTGTATTCACAGAGCCAACTACTCTACATGAGTTTAGTAAATATTTGTTGAATGAATGAATTAAGTTCTAAAACAACATCAAGCCACATGGAGGTGGGTAATGCCAGAGCCAGAGAATGAGAATCCAGGGAGAAGAACACGAGCGAATTGTGGATGCAGGCAATGTCCCAGGGTGTGGGACATTTGGGAAGTCTCAAGGCCTTAGTAGAAATAGAGTTCTTGGAGACCAAGAAGGGGCATGAGGCATCCTGGAAGGACAGCCAACCCACCAAAAAGTAAGGCCACTGTTGTAAGAAAAATCTGGGCATGGTGGGCCCCGTGGCCTGAACTTCAGCTCTTAACGTAAGAAACCAAGAGAAAGGTGAATATGGTTAGAGACATCCAGGACTCTCAGTTCAACATTGAGAGGCCCAGGGTCACCATTGCTTCCCTTCCCTTACTCTGCCAGCGAAGCAGAGATGGGAACAACTACTTTAAAGGGATTTTGTTGTTGTTGTTGTTGATGTCGTTGTTATCACTTTATATATTGTTAACCACGGGTACAATTTACAGCTGGGAGAGCCCCACCCCCTTTGGATATACAGCCATAAGTTGTGACAAACTTATAAAGGCCCTGTCACCATCACAATAAGGGTATAGGATTTCTCTAAGAGTCCCCTTAGACACCTGTGTGTTCAGGCTCCTCCTCCAGAACTTAGCTCCTAGCACCCACTTTTCTAACTTCTGTACCTATAACTCTGTCTTTTCCAGAACATCATATAAATAGAATCATGGTATACAGTCTTTATGGATGTCTTTGGATTAGTATTGAATTTTTAGATTTATCCATACTGTAGCATGTATAAGCAATTTGTCCTTTGATATTTATAAGTGGTGTTCCATATATGGACATACCACAATTCTCTGTCACTGATTGACAGTTGATGGACATGTGGGTCATTTTCAATTTGGGATATACATTATTAATATATAATTTTATATATTAATAATATATATATACATACATATATATATATAATTGAAGTGGATCTGTGTTTTCATTTTTGTTGAGTAAATGCCTAGGAGTAAGACTGTTTATACATGGTGTATATAACTTTATTGCAAGATTGTCTGCCAGAATAACAGTATTATTTTCCATTCCAAACAGCAGTTTGAAAAGGTCTTCTAGTCACTCCACACCCTTGTCAGCATGCAGTATTGTTACTTGGCTTTAAAGTCCTTGTAAAAGAGGTGTAATTCTAGCCACTGTCACTCAATTTGCATTTTCCTAGTCACTAATGACACTGAAAATCTTACATGCCATTTATATATCTTATTAAGCAGCTGTTTGAATCTTTTGTCTTTTTTTAACATGGTTTTCTAACTCAATTGTGAGGCTTCCTTCTGTATTCAGGCTCCTCTTGCAATATATGCTTTCTGGCGATTTTCTCCAGGCCTGCGGCTTCTCTTTTCACTTCCCTGATAGTTTGTTTTTATTAATACAAGTTCCTATCTTTTATCAAAACTAATTGATCTTTCTTTTTTATCTTTTATCTTTTGTAATTTGTGTGTATGCGTGTGTGTGTGTGTGTGTGTGTGTGTGTGTGTGTGTGT